CATTTATCCCGATTCTAGACGTCTATGAAGCGGCGTCGCATCGCACAGCTCGCAGCTGGGGGATATTCTCCGCCCGAGAAGCAGCAACATGTGAACAGCTACGTTTTCTTCATAATTGCCAACTGAAGCGTCAGGATCTCTACTAAGGAGCCGAATGGTGAATATACGAGCACGTATCTCCTGGAGGAATAAATAAATACCACATGGTGCAACGTGGAAATCCGTATTGCACCGACAAAGCAGAGTAAGCATGTGAGGACTCCCGCAGCACAATGTGGACGTCTCCTTCTTCGTTGAAGTGCGTTTGCCAAAGCATGAATCTCATGGGGTTGGGACGCCATGTGCCGCGAAGTATTTCCGCCATCACAGCGAAGTCACTGACGAGTCTACTCGAGATGCTGCTGCAAACACCCCGAGGGATTAAGTCAGGAGTTAAGGTAGGCGCTGGAAACTGCTGTCGCCGAAGTTGGCACCTGTACGTCTTTACTGTTTTAGCTAAAGCTAGAGGTTTTGTGGTGAACCTCCAAAAACCCATCGACAATGTGCGGAAAGGGACCTTCGATGACGAGTTACAGGCAACAGGCTAACTTGTTCTTACCGGCCACCATGATATGTTAACAAGGCGGGCCTCTAGCTACAGCACAGTGAGAAAGGGCAGAGTAAGAAATGTGGGCGGTTGATCGCTTACCGCTCGTGCTACGGAACACACTCGTCTCCTTGTGCCTTAGGGCTCACTCTCGAGTCCCGCCAGCAGCCTTCCCGTGGTTTGTGCATTGGAGACATAAATATACTACCAATAAAGACAGGGAAGACTGAAATGGCCATTTTTGGCTTATTACCAGCCAGTCATATCCAACCCAGGGTTGTGCAACGCCTTAGACTTGGATTTACGACCTCTTGGTTAGAAGTCCAACGCCCTAACCGTTTAGCTACGGGCCCGTTGTCCTGTCGTTTGCAATCGGATATACTAACAATGGTCATGGGTCGCTCACTGAGAGACTTGTTAATTTCACGATAACCAGTCCGCCATTAAAGAATACCTTCCTCAGAAAACCTAGAATACATCTCGTTCCTAGGCTCTCCAATTGGAATACAGTCAAAATAAGATCAAACACATGCTTAGACTAACAGAATGGACCAGCCCGATTATAGACTCTCATCAGCTGCGTTGTGCCGACGCCTGTGAGAATAGCCCTGACCGTGCTCTTGAAGGGACTTGGCTATAGATTAAATCGCATGTTGTCGCAAGGGCGCGAACTGCAAGATAATACCATGCTAATCCTCTCAAGGATACTGCCATTGCGATCGGTTTCCGCCTCGTTGTCTCTAGGGGCTTAACCGTGGTGCTGCAGACAAAAGCTGCCCGCGTGAAACGTTTTTAGTCGAAAGTAGCTAGTACAAACGGATGCATTCTGAAAAGTATCCTGTAAAGGTGCTGGCTAGAATGTACAGACGGTCCGTTTTCGGAACGACTAGATGGGAAAATGGGATTTCCAAGTGGACTTGGCCTACGCCATAGTATATTCCAAGAATCAAGTGACTGGCAACATCTGCCGTAGTCCGACAATATCTACCACTTTTGTAGCCACTAAGAGTCCTTTTAACTTGATAGATATTGTCAAAACTGACCCCTAGGAAGTAGCAGTGTAATTAATCATTCGACGGTGGAGTCTATCAGAACTGTTTGAGACCTCTAATGTAAAGACATTAGTGGAAGTCGGACGAAGCAGTTTTCATCCTACCGGCCAGTCAGTAGTCGATATGGGGGACCTACCAGGGCAGAACGATTACAACAATCGATAGGGAAGTCCAAAGTGTTAACTCAAAAATCTAAGAGGCGGTGAATTATCCTATTGCAGCAGACACTCAGTAGTGATTAGCAATAAACTAACCCCTCTTCAAAAAAAACCAGACGTGATATCAATAATGCACAATATATAAGAAAGTTTCTACCACGAAACACAAGCGAATCAACGCAATTGCTAATTTCGTTTTCAAACTTACAACATATAGCAACCGTGTTCGCCGGCTGTGTCAGTTTGGTGATTTATCACCCTTTAATCGGCATATCAACAAGTTCAGAAGACGACTCGATCACTGGGATAATGCTTTTATTCGCCTGACGTTTCGAGATACGTCACGGATTTGTCATCAGAACCATAATCAGCGAGCATCTGTATCTGCTACTGCTCTCTGATTATGTCTCTGATGACGAATCCGCGACGGATCACGAAACGTCAGGCGAATAAAAGTATTATCCCAGTGATCGAGTCGTCTTCTGAACTTGTTGATATGCCGATTAACAAAAATTTAACAATTAACAAAAATTTTTCAATTGCCGAATACTTTTGAACTCGACTTGCTGTTATACTTGTATTCAGCGCTTCCAAACTACTAGCTGCGTACATTCTATCTCAGGAAAATCACACACCTCCCTACGCTATTCGTTAGATTTTGTAGTGCTCCTAAATTTTTGTGATTGATATAGACTACGTATATCTTAAACGTAGCATCCATAAGTGGACAGATTCGATGCTTCCTGAATGGGTATTTGACGGCCTTAAACAAGCTCATAATTAGAAAACTTAAAACCGAAAACGATCACCTTTAAGCATAAATTTGAAGGAAGTATCGTTTTCTACCACATGAGTACGAGAAAGAATATTTTTCTGTATATTTTCTATAAAAATCTATTTAAATGTATAAGGGTATCGAAAATATATATGGACAGGGCATACTACTTAAGTAGCCATTTTTACAGTATGTTTATGCAGACGGCCGCATGAAGTCGGCATCATGATGTGACTGAAATATCTGA